CGTCCCTAATAAATTTTGGGACGGTGTTATAAGACAATAAGTACTGTACCTAAAGGTCAAAAATTTTTGGTCAGTTGGACTCTAGGGATGATTTAGGAGATTTTAGGGACAGTTTCGACTGTCATTAAAGCCTTAATTTCTTGTAATATATATGATGATGAAGAAATTCCTATAGCTTTCATCCTTCTTCTTCCTTTCTTTTCTTTACTTGTTTTATCCTTCTTTTTCTCATTATATCTCCCAGCGGTGAACCACTCTCTAATTTCCCTCCCTTTCTTCCTTAGATTATCATTTAATTTCATGTAACAAGAAAGAGGACATCAACAGGTGTAAGGATTAGTGTAAACGTGTCCCTCAAATAATACATGTGACTACCAAATGTATTCCACTTACAAAATATTAGACAAAATCTTATGTTTTGCCCCACTTGTGAATTTCTCACATAAACTTGCAGAGACAAGATTATTTCTAGTTTTTCAGACATAATAACATTTTGCAATGTCAATTTATTTTCTGAAGTATACAGAATATCAACATTTCCTTTTCCCGTAACTTTGGCAGAGATGTGATTTCCCATCAAAACCACTTGATCATCTATAGATTTATATGTCTTGTAGTGTGTTTTATCATTACAGACATGAATAGTAGCTAAAGAATCAAGCCACCAATATGAAGACCCAGTTAGTGTTACTATATTCAATTTAGTTATCATGCCAATTGTAGACACCGTAGCAATAAGATCAAAAGTCTTATCTTTCATTATATTGGCATTATTTGAGTTGTTGTTGTTCTCTATCTTTTTATTCTTCTTGTACCTGTAATCACAAATAATATGCCATTTCTTTCCACATTAGAAGCTTTTTATTCTTATAAGGATAACTTCTTTTGAAAGTACCTTTATTTTTCACCTTGTGACTTTTCTGATATTTATTTAATTTGTCTTTATCAAATAGTTCACCTTAGAGGAATCTTGAACATAGTATTTCTTATCGTAAATATGAGTTTCCTCTTCAATTCAAAAGTGCTTTTGTATTTCCTCCAAAGTAAATTCTTCTGTCATATACAGAAGTTTATTTCTGTAATCATTCCAACTATGAGGCAATTTTGAAATAATAGACCCTACTTGGAAGGGCTTAGGAAATACGATTTTAACTTTACAAAGATTTGTGACTAAGGCTTACAATTCATGAACTTGATCTAAATCTGACATATTATCAACCATTGAAAATTCAAAGTTGGTGTGGATGTCGTGCACCACAGCACAAATGTGGTAAAATAAAATGTAGCCAAGTTTGAATATATAGAATGCCATTACCACTACTAACTATTAATGTAGCTAGAGTAAGTAGGGATCTTCCCAAGGGAAAGGAGGCGTACTTTTTTTTTTTGAAAATCAATGTTGGATTAGTAGGTCAAATAATCAAAAAATGGTTGGTTGATGAATTATACTATGATTTAAAATAAACAAATGCAATTTAAAATAACTATAGCAAGTATGAGGTGTAGAGAATATGAGAGAGGAGCCTTGTGACATAGAGTTCAGCACTAAGCATTACCTTCCTAGACATTCAATATGTGATGGATTAGGGGGATTATATGTTGTAAATGAAAGTGTGTGTCATTAATTGAATATTAAGCATGGATGGTCAAGTAAGCAGACATTGTCTAGTTAATCTAGTGAATAGCACAACATATCAAATTAAGCCATTAATCCTTCCATAAGTCCACTATTAATGCACACTCATTAAGTTAGAGAAATATACTACTTGCATTCATAATCATGTAACATCAACCAACAAGCATGGATTGTCCACCTATCTAAGAAAGTAAGGCAACTACATTACAACTAAGGTAGTGACATGAAAATTAAACTAATTAAACTAAGAAGGTGGCACAATCCATTAATAAATAAGTATGAACCATTAAATAAACCACAAGAGTAATCTATTTAAGCACCATGCCTTGATCATCACTAGATTCATAATATCAACACACATAGACATGCATCAATGTCACAAAATCTAGAAATAAATACATAAACATTCATTTTAGCATACATAGACATATGGATAGAACTAAATGATCAATTGGAAGTATTAAGCTACACAAATCATTGTAGAAACAAGATTTATATATATAAGATGTAAAGACAATAATTACAACACAAATCCCCATTAATTACAAACATCAAGGTCTATGAGACATGGTTAGGGCTACCTCTAGCCCTAAAAGAATGGTTTAGCCACTCATTGATGTTGTCATCCAACCCTCAAGGGCTATCTCCATGGTAGAAATCATCTTCCTCCTCTTGTGTTCTTGGTAGAAACCCTAGATGAGTGGAAGAACTTTCCCAAAATGTGTATTTTTCCCCTCTACTCTCTAGCCTCTCTATTGTATATCTACTCAAAATTGCCAAAATCTTTATATAGGTAGCTCAAATGTCACACCCAATGGTTAGAACTCGTGCATTAGGACCTCCAAATGATTGCACCATAACCAAACCTTTAAGTTGGATGGAATTCTATTTTTCATGCCCTTGAGGCAGTTCGATCAATCACAAGGTTGCTTGGATCGATCAAACTATGGCAGTGCATTTTTGGATAATGACAAAGCTGAGATATTTTTGGGAAAAGGACAAACGTGGTAGGTGAGGATAAGATCAAAAATGTTCGATCGATTGAAGGAAAGGTTGGATCGATCGAAAGGGAAATTTTCTTGCAGATAAGGACAAAAGGCTCAAACCATCATAGCATGGTTGGAACGATCACAGTGCGATTGACCAGATCTTGGTTCGATCGATCGAAGAGGGCTTCTTGCACTACTTTGCTTCCACTTTTCTCCTTTCTTCCACTAAGCTTGAGATTGCTTCTTTAAATGCTCTAATTCAGCTAAATTGACTTATTTTTGGGATAAGTGCCTGAAAAGAGACATAACATGAAATTAGACTAAAACGGAAAAATAAGATAGAATAAGGTTCTAGAATACTCAAGCTTAAGGAGTTTAAATGCATATTTTTCAGCGCTTATAAAAAGTACTTAAATATTCTTTAATTTATTTGTACGAAGTTTCTTTATTTTGTACTTGAATTCAAATGCATTCCAGATTTCCCGAGGTGGCTTCATAGGAGCATAAAGATTATAGAGCCAGTCTAAAAGTGTGTTCAAAATGTGTCCTCTATATACCAGTTTATCCTCCTCTCATTTCTTTCTGTGTTTAATAATTTTCTTTGTGTCATTATCAACTAGCTTTCAAATGGTTAAAGATTCGGATCCAAAACATTCGATGTATTTAGAACAGCAACTAGGAATAGTAATTTATCCTTCCAACGAGTGAAGTTAGATCCATCAAATTGATCTAACTTTACAAAGTCTTGATACATAACCTTAAAAGCAATGTCGTCTCATACGATTTCAATTCAAATAATAGTTTAAGAATATTGTAGAAACAAATGACCCAAAACCAATGCCGACGTCTGTAAACTGTGATGTTGTTGAAGAAGACTAGACTTTTGGAACTTCAATGTCAGACTTCTGAAACTTCAATATCAGACTTTTGATACTTGAAGATGATCAAACACTAGTGCCGATTTCTAGAACTTTATTACCAAGTAAAAATATAGACTTGAAGACTTGTATTCACTTCCCTTAAAGTGTTATTTTCCCCTCCTCAGACTGAGTTTGCTATCGGATTATGTAACAAAACACTCTCAGAATCACTACAAGAAAAATGACTTTTTACCACCATGGAAAAGGCTTTCTACCACAGTTTTAAACTGTGGTGGAAACAGCCACGGTAGAAAGTCTCTACTTTCTACCACGGTTTTGCACCGTGGTAGAAAGTCTTTCTTTCTACCATGATGCAAAACCGTGGTAGAAAGTCTATTTTCTTAGAAAGTAATAGACTTTCTACCACGGTGCATAACCGTGGTAGAAAGTGTTATATAATTTTAAAAAAAAAAAATTAGTGTAGCCATTTTGAAGTCTTTTTTTTTTTTTTTTTTTTTTCCCCTACTACCAGCCTTACAAGGACCCATAAGCAAACCCTAAATAAATAAAAAATAGCATTATAACCAAAATAATTTACAAATGACCAATAACATCATATATATATATATATAACCAATTCCAAATCATTGTTTTATACAAAAATTAGCCATATACAAATTTCAAATAAGTACATGATCCACACCTTATATATTTACTTAACCAAAATAAAACAAAAATTCTTCATATCTTCTTGCTCTATTTTAGTCTCTCTCTTCCATATATGTAACTTCTTCATGAGCTATACAAAAAATATAGTGACAACAAAAAAAGTAACAGCAATCGCAACCCGCAATCCTAGCTTTGACCTAAAAAGATGTAATAGTTGAAGTAAGAGAATTAATGTAAAGCAATTTGTAAAGTTTCCAAAATTAAACCAAGCAAAACAAGCATTATAATAAAGGTACATTGAAAGATCTACTCTTCGTATTAACTCAAGCAAAGCAAGTATTAACATGGTCTTGACTCACTTCTACATCATGCAGCAAGAATTGGTGCATTAAAAAGCAATAAAGGTGAATCAATTGAAAACAAAATGCATAGAGATTACACACCTAATGGTTGTTAGGTAGTACATGTTACAAGTTTACTCTCTCCCCCTCTCTCTCTCACGCACACACCTATTTTAGTTCCTGGGTTTGTGAGAAGTTAAAAATCTGATATTTATTTTCCTTTAGTATTGCAGCTAGAAATATCTTATGTTAGGGGTACGATAAAGGTTGTGAAGACCAGTGTTGTTAATGCTGGTGGGAGTTTCTTTGGTGATTAGCTTTCACAGTTGTGTGTGTGTGTGTGTGTGTGTGTTTGTTTTTTTTTTTTTTTGGCCGATATTTCTCCTGGGAAAATATCTGTCATCACCGAACCTACCTCACTTTATAGTTCATCCTCTCCCCGTAATTTCCCCAGCCAAATTCAAGCCCTTCATTCGTGGACTCCCAAAGTATGACTTCTAGTAGAGTATCTTATGTGTGTGTGTGTGTGTGTGTGTGTGTGCTTGTGTTTGTGACGGCCCAAGTTTTGTAAATCCGGTGCGTCAATGATGACCAAAAGATGACCCGACAATGGATCTGAAATGCGTAAACGAAAGGTGGAACAACGGTCTCTAGAGATACAATGCGACTCTAAAAAACCAATGCGACCCTCAATGAGATCACGGAACCCAAAGGAAACAAATGCAGAAGTGTCATTTCAAAAACGGACAAAAAGAACCTAGGGGCAAAATGGACATTTTTCAAAAAGTGGATTCAAGTGCTATCGAGCACACCGCTGGAAAGACAATAAAAATTAATCATAATGGACTCAAGAATTTCATCATTCAGAATCTGGACGAAGGAGAAAGATCAAGAACAAAAATGATGTCGTGGCGGCCCGACGAAGACAACCCACCATTGCTGCAACTGAGAGTAAAAACGGGCATCTAAACGGACTTTTTTGGAAAAACTCAAAGAAGAAACCCCCCCTAAAATCAAGTTTTCTACCCCACACATGGACGGAAACAAAAAAAAATGCATTTTAGAATGCCCAGAATGCCACCAAGAAAATTAGGTCAAGAGGAAAAAAAAATAATCCGAGCTGCTACCCAAGTTTTGGAAATGGGGCTTCGGGAGGTTTTTAAATTGCCTAAATTGAAAATGCAAACTTAAAATACACCCACAAAACCTCCGGAAGTTTCAGATCGGTCGTGACGATTTTCAAAAAAAAGTCGATGAATAGTACCAACTACATTTGTACTAAAAATTTGCAAAACCTGGCAGTAAGGATTTTATGGAAAAATACGGATTTTTGAGGGCCAAGATAATGTTTTCTGGAAAAACACAAACCCCCCTCAAAATCAATTTTTCTACGTGACACGAGAGGAAAAATGATAAAAACTCATTTTTAAATACCCAAAATGCCCCTGTAATAGAATAGGGTCAAAAAAAAAAAAATGCAACTTTAGGTTTTTGTTTCATCAAGGAAGGTATTGTTTGCCAAAGTGAGTATGCAAGTGTATGTAATATGATAAAATAGATGTGCTACAATAGCCTATGGCCACATTACAATACATTTACAACATTTGACATGTCAAACCTCCAAGTTAGAAAAATTACATTTCATAGACAAATCATGAACATGCTAACACTTGCATGTGAACAAGAATGATTCTAAAGAAGCTCAACTCAGCAAATCACCCAAGTAATTACAATCTCCAATCTTGTATCATGTACCTGAAATATGCCCCAGTATCGTAGGGGTGAGTAACATAAAGCTACTCGTAAGAAATGAGCATGCATCGACCTACGTTTTACAAGTTTGCATGATTTAATTATTGTAGTTCATTCCACCTAACGTCTATGTCAATGTGAGACTCAGGGAGCATCCTAAACTACCTAAGATCATATCTAGCATAAATCACATCATTCATGCAATTCAAACAACATAGGAGCATGCTATTCAAAGCAACAAAATAAAGATTCTCAAGTCATCAATTTGAAATCTAAAATACGAAAACAACAAAAGTGATCATATCACCTAACGTCTATGTTCCAAATGAATCTATAGGATCATTCCTAAATTACATTTGAACAATATAGCATGGATGTACTTTTCAACATCAAAAGCTCATAATGATTCATTAAAAATCATAAAACAAGAATGTACTTAACAACATTTAAAAGCTCACAATGATTTATTGAAAATCATAAACATGAATGTACTTAACAACATTAAAATGATTCATTAAAATCATAAACATAGATGAACTTAACATCATCAAAATCGCCAATAACCAAAACCACAAGTCACAATATTAACATGATTGTTAACCTGGAATTGTACGCGAAAACAAATAGTGGAAGACTTGGACATCTAAACTCGGAATTCTGTCGAGACTCAATGGTTATTCCGGGCATTAACCCGTGGTCATACCACCCCTAGTGCGCACTATCTCAATGACTTAGAGGACTCACGTCCCCGTACTAAAGCCAAACTCTAGCCATCTCAGCTTAACAATGTCCCAAGACTCCAAAATAAATAAGTTAACAACTTATATACGTATTAAACAATACACGAAACTACCTTCACGCACAAGTAGGTTGTAACCACACAACACATGCTCCAAATCCACAACTACTATAGGATGAAAATGTCGAATCTTCAGAGCGCGATTCGTTACGCACTATTATAACATCGCATGTCGAATCTTCAGTGTCCGATTCGTTACACGCTATAACAATATAATTCAATATTGGAACATAAACCTATAATTCCATTATAAGCCTAAAATCATGCCTTAAACATATTATCAATATCAATTACATGATTCAATAAACGGTGCAACAAGGTAGAATTTAATTACATCATGATAATTACATCTCTCAATTCTAAAACAACTCTAAATGGTCCCAAATTAACATATGCTAGTACATAAGTCATAGTTATCACAAATATCAAGCAAAACACTCAATTAGGCCAACGGAACCCTCAATTAGATTTTAATTAATCATTTTAATTAAAATCTCTAAATTTTCATACTTGTCCAAATGCTCTTAAATTAAAGTATGTTAAACAACGTTCCAAAACCTAATTTAGAAGCATACTACAACTTAATTTCATGCAAGGTACGGCCATGCACTTTAATCTTTCACAAAAGATAAATATTAATTAAAAAGAGCAATTCTTATTTAATTAATCCCAATTTAATATATGTTAACAAACATATTAAAACTAGATTTTCTAGCATGCCACAATTCAAATCAAAGTTATATATCATCATGAATTTTAAATCTTACACAAAGAAATAAAAATTAATAACTTTCAATATTTGATACAAGGCATATATATAAGTTGTATAATCATGCTAAACACTCAATACAACACACACAAAAGCCTAAAACATTCCCTATCTAAATTTGAGATGAAAATCTCAAAAGCCATCAAAATGGAACGACTCTGAATCCGACGAAACTACTAGGTTTTGTCGGGGACAACGCTGTGAACATAACCCCCATGAAAGCCCCATCAAAATCATAATTTGATCTCAAAACCAAACTCAAGAAATGGTCAAAACTGAATTCTAATAAGGGGGAAAGGTAGAGCACGGCGAGAGGAACAACAAACGTTAAGGCCGAAGACTTTCCATCAAGGAAAACTGAACCAAAAGAGGAGAGAGAAGATGGCAGCACCCCTTGGACTGCCATGGAAGCTCCAGGTCGAGCATGAAGAGGGGAGAAGATGAAAAATGAAATATCTCACCCCCTTTTATAGAAATCTCAAAAAATGCCCCGAACGAGCCCAACCGGGTCTGAAAAAGTAAAATTTGAGCAGACGCGCTCAAATATAAAAATTTTGTGAACAAAAAAGATTCAAAATGATAAAATATGAACAACGAAAAAAATGACGTCAATAATCGAGTCACGAGCAGAAAGTTATGCCTAAAACAAGTTTGGAGCAAACCGGAGCCAGAAACCCTAAAACTGGAAAACATAGACCAGGAGGAAATTCGAAGAGTACAGAATTCGACGAAATGTGAAAATGAATCCCGTACGAGGATCTAGGCTCAAAACAAGATATTTTGCAATAACTTTCATTAATTACACAATGGCCCCTCTAAAAACTGAAAACTGCACTTATGGCCCAGAATGAAAATATCTTCCAAAAATATTTTCTTAAAAACCCCTGGAAAAAATATCTTCAAAAGATATTTATGAAAAACACACCAAGAAAAGAAAATAATTTCAAAGAACTTTGCATCCATGCCCTTATGGACACTAAAAGCAACCAGAGTACTTTCTTACAAAAGTAAAGATACGTATTTCATGGAAACTACTCAAGATGGAGATACATGAAGTCAAAAACCAACTCCGAACACAAGAAGTGTGGTTACGCCAACAAAGTGTCAAACGGGGAAAGACAAAATAGGGAAAAGAAAGAAATAGGGAAAATGACAAAAAGTGAATAGTGTCGAAAAACGAAAAATTCGGAAACGACTCGGTCCTCAAAGGAAGTTGTCAATCCACAGAAAAGAGTCTCGGAAATCACTCCAGAGCACTCGAGACGACACTAAGCGAAGGGGAATTGAACTCAGAAAGGAAAGACAACAGAAAAAAAAAATATCCGTGAAAATCCGGATCATTACAGTGTTAGCTTCTTTAGTTGTTCTAGTACTTAATGATCAGATGTCAACTATGGGACCAAGCCTGGTTTCATATAACTTCCAATGTGGAAGTTTTAAGTTTAAAACAATGTTAATGCTAACCACATGTTCAATGTTGTACTAGAAGAGTGAAGGGGGTTGAGAGAGGCAGTTGTTGCCTTTTATGTTGAATCTTGTGCCAGCCTTTTCCAGCTTTATGTATTTGCAAGGCTACTTATTCATCTTTACAAAAACTTCCTTAATAGAGTTGATTAGACTTACCATAAAATAAAATAAAAAGAAAAGAAAAAGTTGATTCAGGGAGTTTTTTTTTATTTTTAGGCTGTATATACTTGAATTGTCCAGTGTGATAATATAAATTCAGCAGGCATCCTACATACAGTTCAATTCTTCAAAGATGGGCAATTAGTTCAATGTGTTTTAGTTATATACATTTGTAGATTGTGTCATACAGTTTATTAGTTATATATATGCATATGTGTGCATATATGTTAAATTTAGGTCTCTTTTGACTTATCAAAAAAAAATTAGGTCTCTTTTGATGCTTTTAATAGAGATGGAAATATAGGATACTGAACATTTTTTTGATTCTTTCTCATGATTTCAGGACCTACTGGATAAGGATTACTGTTAGCCCCTTGACGGTTGTCCAAGGGAAGACATGGGCATTTCAAGGCCATACCATGTCTTGGGAATACTTTGGCTTTGGTTAGACAGCCATGAGGATTGCTCAGGGGGTTGTCAGTGTGCACAAGATGCTCAGCGTGCACACAAGATGCTTAAAAGGATGCTCGGAGTGCACTGGGGGTGCCCAGTGGCACTTTCGTAAATATGGCGAAAAGTGAAACTTGGAGTTTTGACTCAGGATCTTTATGGGAGGTACCTTGAGTCCATAGAAGCTGGTTGGCGCAGACGGCACTCAATTTGGATGTCGGGAAAGGTCTGAAAGGCCATTATGACTCCTCAAGCATGGGTGATGTTTACTCCTGTCAGAGTGCTGGATTTCCTTAAGACTATATTAGGGGGGGGTCTGTTGAGCACATCGGTTGGGCTATGGCATGGCTTGCTTAGAGGGCTTAGCCAACGTGCATGGGCATGTGTTGCACCACTCCAAGATGGTTGCACAAGTGGGGAGCTTCCAAGATATTGAAGGGCAAACAAGCGGGCACCGACACGCGCGCTGGGGTGCAGCGGCGCGCGTACGGGCGTGCAGGTGGGCGCACGGGTAGGCGTCCAACCTAGTGTGCGCGAGCGTCTAGCTCGGCGTGCACATGGGCATCCAGGTGGGTGTATAGCCACGGGCGCATGAGGGTTCAAACATGGCGCGCGAAAAAGGGCACTAGCGTGTGCGCCGGCGTGCACTTTGGTGTGCATCCCAGCGTGCGCACGAGCGTGCATGGCTTGGCACGCCGTGCACTCAGAGACATATGTATGTGGGTGCAGATTGGTGGACTTGGGCTAGGTTCACAAGGTTGACTCAGATGTGGCTAGAGCATGGACAACACAAAGTCATGGCTTGCGGTTACAAGAGGTGGTCGCTTAGTGGGCTCGATTGGTTGGGGGAAGTTACTAGCACTTCCCACTCATCATGGGAAGTGGGGGAGTGCTGAGTAACCTCCCAAACATGTGGCACAATTCTGAGAGGACCAACACACAGGCGGTTAAGGGTGGTTTCCTCCACTATGCAGAATCTAACTTCTTGTGGTTATGTGGCATGAGCAGAACATGCCAACAAGTCTAGCAGTTGGGCTTGTCAACTGCATTATAGTGCTGGCTCATTTAGAGGGTGCCAGCACGACCCTAGGTGGATGGGGGTGTCATCCATCATCTTAGTGGGCAGTTATGGGCAGTTTTGAGAGTGGCCTATATAATCCTAAGGTGGGCTTTGTAGAGGGGACAGAGTAGAGAGTGTGAGCCTTGGTTGTTCCTTGTACAAACTCATGTTCCTTTATAATATGTTTTATATGAGCAAAGGTTGGGGCTTGTCCCTGTAACTGTGTGTGCCTTCTTTACATTTTCTATATTGTGTTGTTGTGTTGGCTGAGACTTGGTGGCCCCAAGTGCCATTGCAGA